GCGTTCACCATCAGCATGTTGTTTTGATAGCGGCTGAAGTGCTCCTGGGGGTCTGATCGGCCATCGTAGGACTTGATGGCATTCCCCCTGTACTTCTCAGGGATGGGGGCCGAGAGGACCCTGTTGGTGAAAGGGGTCCTAGTCCTGACCTGGATGATGGGGTCACCTCGCCCTTCGGCTAGCTCCCTCTCCAGGGCGCTGACTTTGTTCATGAGCGCGTTGAGGCCGGGGTCGTTGGAGGCGCCGGCCGTAGGGATGTTGGCCGACTGCTTGGCCTCCATCTGAGCCAACCTCCTTTCCAGCTGGGCAATGACCTCGTCCCGGGGGTCTCTGTCGGCCGCGGCGACACCCGGCTGGTTCCTCAGGCGCTCGTTGTGAGCCGCGTTGATCTGGTGACGCACATCATCCTCGTGCAACTTCCCCTTGCCCTTGTCCGGGCGGGGCTGGTCCGCTGTCCGGGACACAGACCCCAAACTCTCCCTTGGCGAGCCAGGACGTGGATCACCAATCCGTCCCGCCATCCTCTCCGAAACCGGACGACGGCGCGTGTCACCCAGCCTATTGAAGGCAGAGGCTTTTCCACGCGCTGGGGTCTGCCCGGGCCGACGAGGGGAAGCAGGGTGGGAGTGGGACGATGCCGTGTCCTGGGCCACAACCCCCTCATTGTTGCCTATCTGGACGGCCAACGGTTGGGGATGAGGAGGTGGAGTGACGTTTCCCCCGGTCCTTGGCAAGAGTGCGCTGAGGACGGTGGGGTTCTGAGCCAGGCTGGCGATGATAGCCGATAGTGCGGCCTGGACCTGAGGATCTACGGACGGGGAGGCCGCGGCCATAGGCTGGGCCGGGGCGTGGTCCGCTTTCTCAGCTCGTTTCTTTTCCAGGCCGAGGCGGGCGTCGGGGACTCCGCCGTTGAGTTGGTTGCGGAGGTCCGTCGTGAGGTTGAAGGCCTCCTGGAAGAGGTCCCCTCCGCCGACCTGGTCGGCCGTGGCGTCCTCATCGTGCTCCCTGGGCTCTTGGTCCTCAGGGATGACTTTGCTGACGAGGTTGCGGTTTGACTTAGTTCTCCCCATGATCAGTGGTTAGCTGTGCTTGGTAGCGACGAAGGGTGCTAACTTGATTGTTCTAGCTCTCAACGAGAGCACCAAATGATAGAGTATATCTAGAGAGAAGTGAGAGCTAGAGAGAGAAGTGCAATAATATGCTTCAATAGAATGATTTTGTAACCCCTATAACTACTCCCAAGGGGAGTATTTATAGAGAAAATTAGGGTTGGGCTCCCAAGCCCAAGGCTTGGGAGGCCCATTTACAACTGGACCGCTACTGGGCCGAATACAAAGCCTCTAATGGGCTGTACAAATGAGTAAGTACAGGATCCGATTCTGGGAGGTCTTCGTGGCCGACGAGGGCGTGGCCGACGAGGGCGCGGCCGACGAGGGCACGGCCGACGAGGGCACCCGGGTTCCTTAAATTCAGGACCATAATCCGAGTTGGCTTCTTCTCGACCGACGGGGGCGTCTTGGCCGACGAGGGCGCCACTCTGTTGTCTTGTGTTCTGTTCTTCCGAGTGTGTGGGTCCTGGGGCTCAGGCCCATGTACTCCATCATAAAGATATTTGTGTTGTGCCTTGAGTATTTTTTTTTTGCAATTTTGTGTCTTGGAAATGGAAGATAACATTTTTTTAAAAGACGTAACATACAGTCGGGGCCGGTCCTAAGTTCCTAACAAAATATAGGGACACTGTGCAACAATAAAATTTGAACCTTTTATTTGATGAAATAAAAACTACGAAGTATATAATACACCATGCACTATATTAGTAATTAATAAATTACGTATACTTTATGTCAACTTACAGGTTATTAATTTAACAAATTAAAATAGTCAAAATAAAAGTATTCGTTAGCAAAATAAAATTTATTTTTAAAAAAGATATTCTTTGAGCATATTTTCAATGAGTTATTATAATCAATGTTCTAAAAGTCGCAAGGCATGCCAAGATGATAAGACTAAGCCTTAAGCCTATAAAGTCTAGGCGAGTTTAAGAGGGGTTCAGACGTGAACAGATGTCTTGATTTTTATACTTTACTTAAATTTTTCTAGAGATATTCTTAAGTATGCAAGTCTTCTAATACTAAAGATTATCTTACAAAAACATCAAACTTTTCTAATTACCAAGAGAATTAGATATCTAGAGTCCTTATAAATATGACAAATGTAATATCATCATCATTAAATTCTAAAAATTGAATATAAGTTACTATGACTAAAATAACTATTAATGTCACTAAAGTTACAATATTTATTCAAAATTTCCTCAATGTCCATAGACCTAATATTTACTATATCGGACCAGTTCAGACAAGATCAAACTTAAATGAACCGAACTAGATCAAACTAGGTCATATCAAATCATATCACATCATAAAATTCTATTCTTTTTAAAAGTATCTTTAAAGGAGTCCTCTCTAAAATTCAGAACTCCATATTAGATTAGAATAATTCTCCCGATACATTCTACACATCCTAATGTCCTAAAACAATACTAATAAGAGTAATCAAAATGTTTTTAGCTGGATATAAATTTTCTAAATTTAAACATATTTGAATTCTTTTCAGAGTTATTTATAAATATTATCATTTTTATCTTTTGAAAAGTGAGAAATAACATTTTGAGCATTCTTTGTAATACATATATGGTTTAATTTATGTGTAATAAAAAGCTATTATAAATTAACTTAAGGTACATGTATTCCAAAGAGTTTTTGTCACTTTAGGTCACCCGAATATTATGTCGGTGACACTTTTGGTATTCGACTTTAATTTTTTTATTTTTAATCTTCGACTATCCTGGTAGGTAAATTTTTAGTCCTCAACTTCAAAGATCCCACATTTAGTCCCCTGAGTATTATCAAATTTATATTTTTAGTCCTCCCACTATGACTTGACACAACAAGTGGATGATTTAAAATGTCACTATTATAATAGTTGAAGGACCAAAAGTATCACTGTTGTGAAAATTTGCGGACCAAATGTTAGAGATATTTTTTGTGGTGTTAAATCATGTTTTCTTATTGTGTATTTGTGTTGTATTTAGTCTAATTAATAAACAATGGGCCACTTTATGATTAAGGCTCATATGTCTCTCAGATGCCTATTTTGTAATGGGTCTATTCCTCAGACCTATAAAGTCTAGAGGAATAGGCATAAAACCTTAAGTGAATAGAGGCATCCGCAGAATAGACTAGTCACTTCTACGCTACTCTCTCTCTCTAGAGGGAGAGCAGTGGCCGTTCAACACCATTTACAAAAATGCTAAATCATTTTGGGTATTGAATGGAGCTTCCCTTGTTATCTATTTTGTTCTATTCTATTGTTTGATTGTTCAAACAGGTTTTACATTTGATATCAAAGTTGAGGCCCAAAACGGGTTTAAATTTATGCGACGATTTTTTGGACTGCCATTGACGAAGAAGAAAACATCCGACCTTTGCGTATCAGAAGTTCAGTGCGAAATTCTACTCAAGAGCGAAGTTTTATTTAGCGCATCGTATTATAATTTACAGGAGGAAAACAGCCTGTGCGCTAAACCAACTTGGCGCATCACTCTTCGTGCGCAAACCTCAGTTGGCGCATCAACTTGTGCGCGAACAGCTACTTAACGCATCCAGACTCCGTGAGCAAACTTCATTTCACGCAGCATCGCTTAGTGTGCAAACCCACTTTCGCGCATAAGCAGCCCGTGTGTGATCCGTGTTTTGCGCATCAGAAGACTCATGCGATAGAACTTCACGCAACACAAAACTTTCGCGCATCAAGTATTTTGTGTGCGATCCGTATGCGCTAACACTTCACTTAGCGCATCCCATTTCGTGATAAAAAGGGAGAAAAAAGGGCAAAAATGTCTTTTGAGACCCGCCAAATTTTTCGACTATCGTGTCAGCAGGTCGCCTGCGCAGGGGGTACGAATTTTCGATTTTGAACTACAAGTCTCTCTATAATTCTCCTAAGCATAATTTCATTCTAGAGAGCCACTATTCATATCATGCAGTGTATTGCAAAATCATTTTGGTATTGAATTTGCATTTCTATTCTTCTATATTCTATTGGTTTGATTGTTGAAATAGGGACAAACAATTGTTGAGTCTAATTCCTCTGATTATGATAATTCTGTGGTTGTTGCGAAATGTTTAAAGATGGATAATTCTGTGAAAGTGAACATTGAGGGTGAGTATAAACAACCATTTTTAAGGTATCTCCTCAAGGTTTACTCACTTCTAAAGAACATTTGTCTGAGCAACCTATCAACATCAAAGAAACCTCCCTCGCTCCTAAGTTCAAACAAGAATGGGTTCCTAAAGCCAAAACTGACCATTCAAAAACTTCAAATTCTTCTCAATCAGCTAGCTTAGGTTCCCACATTAAACAAAAGCTGAAACAACTCTTAACATTAATAAGTAATGACTCATCTGATGATGGTACCTAAGCAAACTTAATCTGTTTTACAGGTCAATCATGTGTGGCATCTTGATTCTGGTTGCTCACCACACATGACTACACACTAGACACAAAGAACTGTTGAACAACTACACTAATTGTTTAACAATGAACCTTAAAACCGCTATTTTCTATGTTTGAGCCAATTTTGGGTACCCGAGCGATCAGATTTCGGTCTCAGATCTAGACCCTTTATGTATTGTTTGGGTTTTTGATTGGTTTCAACTTTCAAGCTTTAAAAATGGCCAATCTAGGATCGAAACTGGGTTAGGACCACCTAATTCAGTCCCTGAGACTGAAACCGAGACAATGAACCGCTCTTGGGCGGACAAGGCCAATCCTAGGCCTGAAACCCCAAATTTTGAACCAGGTCCGGCCCCAAACTTTGTTGGACCTGGTTCCGGGCCAGGTCCACCCCTTTCACAACTCTACTGAGTTTTGATCGACCCATTACCAATATTACAAAAAACACAGGGACTTGTATATTTAACGCTATAAATAACTTTGCTATCTTATAGCTTACAACAATGGCGGGTTAATCTCTTGTTATGGAAACAATTGTAGCCCTTTTCTGGAGGATAAGGGGTCAATCAATATTCTCAAGTGTACACTCTCTTGTGTACAGGTGGCATCCTCTTAAAGGAGTTAAAGGTGAAGGATCTATTGCTGACGGTGGTATCCTATTCATACACAAGGCAATCCTTCTAAGACCTGTAAATGGAGAGCCATCCTTTCACCTGGGAACTCTAACCCTTGATCCAGTGACGTCGGCCCTAGGCTTCATTCGTTCTTGTTGTTTGCATTGCATGCCCCGAGAGTTAGGCCTTAAGGTGCATGCCATCTAGGACGGGCTTCACCCCCGAGAATTTAACAATGAACCTTAAAACCTGAAGTCTTCGTCCTTATTGCTTGGTTACGACTTAGGAGACAACATTTTACTAATATACTTGACAACATTTCACTAGTATACTGGTTTCCAACATATTATTGAAGTATAAAGTTGAATAATTAAGTTTACATAAGCTAAAATGCTCTACAGCTGCAACCTACAGCATGGAAGGGCAGAAGATCGGTCTGGCACCAGCGTATACAACCCCCGCATCATCTGCATGATAATTAATAATGTTTTCACGCTAAATGGAATTAATAAGGTAAGGTATGCATACATCTCAAACATCCCACACCCTTCTTCCAAGTGGGTTTACAGGGTGTTTTGGTTTAAACTAAAAATGCCGAGAATTTTATACAACCATACCTGCAAGTTTAGCTAATGAATACTGAACTGGCACGTTGGTATCGACTTCGACAGCAGCTTTAGCAGCTGCAATCCCAACTGCTAAACTTTGCATGAAATCTAAACCAGCACACCATGATGCAAGGGTCCCACCAACCAAGCAATCACCTGCTCCTGTAAGTCTTGCCACTGATGCTGTAGAAAGTGCCGGAAAATACACAGCACACATATTGGACCTTGACTCGAGTCTAAAAGAATTAAAGAAGTGGTTATGGGGGCACTTTGATGTCACTGCTTCAATTAATTCTTTGCTAAATGATGGGGTTTGGTTTCCTTTCAAATCAACAAGTTTCTTGATGCTACCCATCATCCCCCTGAAGCATAAAAATGCACCTTTCGAACCAATAGTCACAATCAATACTTTGATGCCTTTGTGCAGTAGGACTGAAATTGCAGGTTTTAGCATTTGAAACATAGTTTCTATTGATAAAGGAGGGCAACCCTTTTTAATTGGGTGGAATTTCTCGGCATCAGAGACTGTGTTTCCCATGGCTATAAGTTCATCTTCATTTGGTGATGCAAAAGTAATCTGCAAAATATAAGTTCATCTTCACAAATGGATGTTGTGATGAGATTGTGAAGCTAACTTCTAATTTTGTTATCCACACAAGTTAAGGAGTATATACATTTTAAATCAAATTCACCCAAAAGAGAAATGTTAAATAATCTGCTCATTTCCTTCACCCCCCACCATGTTGGCATCACCGCATTAGTAGTATGATATTTAGTGTTAATCATCTCCAACTGTTTTCACATTATAAGTGCATGCAATACGATAGTGACAAAGTTTTACTCCAAGTACCCTTCATGTTGGCTGTCGCAACCTTTTAAATAGGATTAGTGAGATGAATATACAAGTATACAACATCCTCATTATTATAGCTTTATCTTATCCACTGGCAAACTAAAACACACACTGAGCTGCTTTGGCAACATACAAAAAACAGCCTGGTGCAAACTTTAACAAATAGAGAGCATGCATAACACTGCACTTTGAGACAGTCAAATTTATATACTCCCTCCGTCCCAAAATGATTTGCAGAGTCAACTTTTCTTGATTAAGACAGTTTCAATTTATTTACTTATTTAGCATATCAATTTTTTATTATATTCTAACTTGGATTTTGCAACTTAATAGAACTTTCAGTGTAGATTCCGAATATGCAAATTTTAAATATTATTACAACTATTTTAACTACCTGCAGTGATAATTTAACTTGTTCGTCTATCAACCTTAAAAACCGCAAAATGCAATTCAATTCAAGACGAAGGAAGTATCAATGCGTATAAATATGATAAAATAATATGTATATAAACATGGAGTAGGTTAGACAAAATAATATGATAAATATGATAAAATAATATGTATATAAACATGGAGTAGGTTAGACAAAATAATAAAATGACCAAAAGAAAAACAAAAATAGCGTATAAATATACATATGCACCCGCATAACAATTATAGACACAAAGAAAAAGGAAACAATTAGCAAAGCTCAAAAAGTATCTCTCATAGAGTTTTTTGTCTACATTGTTATTTCACTTAAAAAAATGTAAATGGGCTACAAAATTAATACTGCTATAACTAAAAATCACTCTTCATGCATTGCACGAGTGAAGTACAACTAGCACAGCAACGATAATAATAATTATAAGAAAATCAGGAAGGAAACTAAAATGATGCCGAGTTTTTTTGTGCTCACATGATTGACAATGGAAGCAATTCTTCTAGATTTCACAACTGAGACAGGCTCAAACCATACTGGAGTATTACATTCAGCTGCAACTGAGAGACATAATTTTGAATTTACATCATAATTAACAGAAAGAATTTACTATGCATTTTCCACAATATACAGTTAGAGAGAAAAATAGGCAAGTGTTAGTCTGCAAGGAAAGTGTACGTCGGCAAGATGCTTCCAGAGCAGAAGAACTCAAGTTTGCATCTAGAAGCAAAACTGGGGCAGACAAAATGTTGGATTTGAAGTTATGTATCCATGTGGTTGTGAGATGTTTCTCCTGTTTTCATAGTTCCATCATAACTATATGACTGCACAAATACTTTCAAATAATAAGAAGAATCACTTGTTCAGAAGCAACTTACAACAGCTTCAACATTAGCAACACCGGCTGCCACTTCCCCTTTACTATCATAAATGTGACAAACTGACGGAGTCTCAATACTATGATGTCTAAGAATACCTGATAGAAATTTCAATGGCATTAAATGAAGGTAATGAACCAATGGATAATCTCATGTTGCATTGAAATGATCTCATCTTCAACTCTTTTCTACTAAACTTCATTTCTCAAAGCCCCAGTACCAAAATTCCCTTCTATTCCATCCATGTACACTTCATGTATGTCAGTTTTGGTCTCCATCAACTTCTCTTTAAAACTTTAGGGTTCTAGAAAATCACTCCAATTATACCCCCTCCGTCCCATTTTAATTAGCCAAACTTGACTTTTCAAGTAAATGGCATCTCAATTTGACCGATTATATGTTTATACAGAGAAAGTATTGATAATATGAAAATGATATGAAAATGTTCTTTGTTAAATATACTATCATAAAAGTATAAAATTATTAAATTTTGCATAAATATACTCCCTCCGTCCCATAAAATAAGTCCCATTTCAATTTGGATCGGAGTTTAAGAAAGTGGGAATAAAGTGGAAATGTATGTTTGTGGTTGAGTAAGAAAAAGGTAAATGAATGTTAGCCACACAAAACTTTCCAAAAAAGGAAATGGGAACAATTTTTTGGGACGGCCCAAAAAGGAAAATGGGACTTATTTTATGGGACGGAGGGAGTATTAGTTAAAATAATTGGTCAAAGTTTACCATCTTTGACTGGAAAAGTCAAAGATGGCTAAGTAAATTGGGACGGTAGTATATGTTGTATATAAACACAAACAAATGTATAATTATCGAATAATAAGATACCCTTGCTTTCAAACCATAAAACCTTTTTTTGATGACTCTAGTTACTTTATCATTAATTATTTTCAGAAGTTACGCTTTGTTCAAATAAGTTGGTAGTATCTTTTATAAAACAAATAAACGATATGAAGTTTTTTAATCCATAGGCTACATGTGTTTTGCATTTTTACTTTTTCTATTGATACTCGCTAAATGTAGTCCTTCCCTCTTTAATGATATACTCGCTAAGTGTAGTCCTTCCCTCAATTTTATACTTCCTGGTTTTTGCTTTTGCGTTCGATAAGGTCCACTTTTTTAATTAGAGAGTCTAACCTTAAAATTATAATGTTTTGCTTTCGACATTAAACATTTGAGATTTAATCTTTTTTTTGTAGTTAACACTCCACAACAAGTAGTTTTTTTACTTTCATAAGCTAAGACTGTTGTCTAAAATTTGATTGGAGTTATAATAATTTCAATAAGTTAAAATTGTTTTCCTTTTGTTCCTCTTTAAGTTGGAAACAATTTTTCTTTTCAAATTAGTATGTTACGTTTAGGTTATTCTTTTATTAATGCATTCAAATTATTACGCCATATGTTTTGTCATCCAAAGTTGTACGCACCTAATGTTTATTGTCCTTTTAATATAGCATATATTGAATTATTGATCCCTCTTAACTATCTGCCCCTGGCCTATGACGCCTTTGAAACAAAATCAATAAACAAGTTAGCATACCTATTTGAGATTAAAAACTTATTTCAACATTAGAGAGTATAAGACAAGAGTAATTACATTAGGCAGCATCGTTATAATTAGCATGATGCATCATGTGTATCAATATGAACTTTAGGCATCATCGGAATTTTTTAATTATATATGAAGTGAAATCAACTTTGCGGCACCTTTGAGGCACTGGGGTAAATGAAAATGAAATGATGATGAAGTGAAATCAACTAACCAGAATATGATGCAAGTATTTAAGAATATACCTTCTATACATAACCCTGCCTGTTTCCAGTGTTCCAATAGCAAATTTCCTATTCAAAACAAGAGCAGAGAGAGAATGAAAGAAAATTCAGACATATTCTGTCTAATATTACGTATATTAATTGAAAATGGCTACGGTAATAAACTAAAAATAAATGCCTTGTCAACAATCAACAGCAAAGTTGAACATGTTACTTTCGTGGGGGTAAATATTTTCAGTATTATCAAGCGCAAGCAGCTCCTTAGGATCTGGTGCAATTAATCAGTTATAAACGCTTTTACTTCATAATTTATGTTGTCTGATTCCGGTAAAATAGTGCTCACCTGCCATGTCAGATCCTACAGCGCTTATTAAGTATGGCTTTGCTCCAAGCTTTGACATGCACTCAGCTATATTCCTTGCCACACCACCCAATGTGTAGACGATCTGCATTGCGAGGTTCAGAATTATATGAAGTTATAAAGGTTATGTGTACAGCCTGTTTGTAGATTTTAAACAGAGTTATAATATGAATACTTGAACCAAGAAAGTATGCACATCAGATAATATGCCAACTGGTGTAACTCTCATCTTTACGTAATAGATAAACAAGATAATCCCCTAACCCCCGTAATAGATAAACAAGATAATCCCCTAACCCAGTTAACGATAAGGGTCTCTTTGGAATGCTGAAAATATTATGGACGAAAAAAGAGGACAAGTAGAAGGTAATAAAATTTTTGGGAAAATAATCATAAAAATGTTTCAAACATGATGCTTCTTTAATCTCATTCGATTTAAATAGTTGTATTATAAAAAGGCTAGGAAAACCAAGTATATGAAACAATTTAAAAGTTTCAATCAAATTTAAATTTCTTACATATCTTTCAATTTAAAAACCAAACTTTAAAAAAAAATCTTGTGCATTTTTTCCTTTCCATACCAACTTCAGAGTTCCAACTATAACCTAAGTGTCACTAACAAAGACAAGTTTTGGTTCACATCAGTGTTGCTTTATACAGCCAAGACAAAATTACTGCTATTTACATTTTTAACCTAAATTATAAAACCAAAACAACGTATTGAAAGATAGGATTATTAGAGAGGTACAATGTTGGAAAAAAACATTTATTAATTCCTTAATTTGTCTGATTTTATTTAAAGTGACACTTATTGTCAACAAGTGGGGTATTAACTATCTAGAAAGCTATCCTAGCAAGCTAGTAGCACAGTAATGAGATCACATTGTGAACCGGATAGAGTAGTTGATTTTCCAAGAAAGCAGACCTAGCAGGCTAGCATAGTAATGAGATCAGAGTGTGTTTGAAGCTTCATCATTCAAGTAATAATATCGAAGGTACATCATTTAATTCTAGGGACAAACACTCCAAGATACAAAATATGGCCTCTGTTTCCGAGTGAGATCTATCAGCAGAAGTAAATGTATGAACTTTGCTTCCCATGTGTACCCAACTACAACCAACAAGTTTTTTCACTGCCTTTCCTCTCATCATCTTCATAATCTTTCCCATTTCACTCCACTTCCCATCTGAGGCATATATACTAGCCAACTGCACATATCTCGCCCCACTTTCCCCCTCAATATGCAATAGTGCCTCCTCTGCTGTTTTTGCAAATTCTGTGTTCTTGTTCATTTTGCAAGCATTCACGAATGCACCCAAAACAGCAGCATCTGGTTTACAGGGAATCTTTTCCACAATTCCCACTGCCTTATCAAGCTGATTACCCCTTCCGTACAAATCAATCATACATGAATAGTGCTCAATATCCGGTGAGATGTTATAGTCTGTTGTCATTGAATTAAAAAACTCTTCCCCTATTTTAATTAAGCCCCTGTGACGACACATGGAAAGAATGGCAAGGAAGGTCACTGCATCTGGTTGGAAGCCTCTATCCTTCATTTTTCTAAAAAGTAGAAGGGCTTCATTATCATGACCATGGTGAGCATAACCAGATATCATCGTGTTGTATAAGATGGAATCTTTTCTTTCAAACTGTTGGAATATATTCTCCGCATACAATACGCTTCCACATTTTGAATACATATCAACCAAACTGTTTGCCAGTTTCTCGTCCACCACAACTCCAATTCTTAATAAATAGGCATGGGTTTGCTTTCCGGGATCTAAAGCTGCACACACTGCACAAGCACCAAGTAGGTTGACAAGAATTAGAGCATCAGGGACTAGATTGGCATCCTTCTTCATAAATTTCTTAAAAAGCTGGAAAACTTCATTACATTGCTTAGATCTCAGATAACCAGACATTATAGCGGTCCATACCACAGGATTCTTCTCAGCCAAAGAATCGAACAGCCGTCTAGCTGCTAACAGGTTACCCTCTGTGGAATATCCGACTATCAATGAGGTGATGGAAAAAGGATTATTTCCCTCGATAGTATCGTGAACAGACTCAGCATATCTCATATTACTGCACCTGCAATAAACATCAACAATGCCACTACTTATAAATGGATTTGAAACTAACCCTTTCTTTATAACCCAGGCATGAATCTCCTTTCCCAGGTTCAAATTCCTGAGACTAGCACAAGCAATCAAAAGACTAGCGTAACTGTGTTCATTCCATTGAAGGCCCTGCTCTTCTGCCATCAGCTTAAATAATCGGATTGCTTCCTTTTCATATCCATTATGAGCATATCCTGAAATCATTGTATTCCAAGATATAGAATCGTTCAGATCTGGATTGCTCCAAAACACTCTCTGAGCCGTCTCAAGTTGTCCTTCTCTGAGGCAAGCTGCCACCAGCGCATTCTTTGAGACCGAATCCACGGCATAACAATCACATACACTGAACACTGCACATGCATCTTCAAATGATCCACATTTCGAATACATATTGATGAGAGAACTAACTGAAAAAAAACTAACGTCATTACTTGTCTTTAACATATACGAATGCAGCTGCTTCCCATAGGACAAGACACCCAATTTTGCTGTCAGACCAAGCATCAATGTTAGACTAAATTCATCTATTCGGGCTTTATCACTCTCATACTGCATTGCAAGAAATACTTCAAACGCTTGGTTTTCAAGCCCATTGTAGTTTACATAACCAGAAAGCAATGAATTGTACGTTATAGAATCTTTCTGAGGAGCGGCATAAAAAAGTTTGTGTGCACCCACAATGTTTTGGGCCTTTACGTGGGCATTTATAATGGCATTCCAGGAGAAGATGTTTCGTTCTGGCATTTCTTCGAACAGATTATGAGCTTCCCGAGCTAGACCGTGCTTGGAATACAGATGAATAAGTTGGTTAGTTGTAAAAATCGGCATTGTAAAACCAGTTTTTACTGCGTGGGCATGGGATTTAAGCCCTTCTATAAGCAATCTCATTTAGATAAGCTTCATAAACCGGGCATTAAACTTCTGGAGAAGCTATACGTGTAGCATTTTTCATTATGTTCGGAAAAACAACTGTCTTTGTACAAGGTACGTACAACCCAACAAAGAAGAACCGCAGATGAAAGAACTAAGAAGTCAAACCTTTCCAGGAGTGGTTGTCCCGCTATTAGCAGCAACCGAAGGGCTGCAATTTATATCCAACACCATGCCCCCTATCACTACCGGCGCCGACGCTGGCCCGTCTCTGTCTTTATCCTCTTCATTCAGACTCTATAAAACGCAACAGCGATAAGCTACTAAAGATTCCGAAACATCGCTGTAAACGATGAGAACTTTGGAGGAAGATGTTCAAAAGCTAAATTTTTAGGTATTCACCTCCATTTGACCGTAACGTGCAGCCTACTTGCACAGTGAAGCTTTGTGAATGATCTCTGGCTCTCCGCACTAGAAGTGTTACTGTATTAGACTACTGTACTAGACAAGGGCATTCTTAAAATCTTGTACTACGTATTTTTGAATAGAATATTAAAATCCAATCATAACATTTTATTAAACATATCTTAATAATTATAAAATAAATAAATATTAATATTAATTTTCAAGTTAATTGTATTATATCATTTCATTAGATAAAACTATACCTACAAGTAGGGGTGCAAATGTGTCGAACCAAGCGCGAGTCTATGTAGCTCGAGCTCAAGCTCGAAATATATTGTATAGGCTCGAGCTCGGCTCGATTCAGCTCAATTGGCTCGATACTTTTGGTTCGTCAACTCAAAAGTTACAAATTTGATTAGCTCGAAAGTTTGGGTTTGAACTCGAGCTCAAGTATGACCCAATCTTTAAATATTTATAAATTTGCAAATTGCAATTTACATGCCCAACAACTAAAAGCAGATGAAATGTTGTCCAAAATAAATCAAAAATGATCTTACCATGAAGATTAATCCGAAACTAGAATTACGGGAACGAAAAACAAACAAAATATAATCCTAACTTCAAGTCTCTACCAAGTTGTACTTCTAATGTAAATCAAAAGTGGTCAAACCATGAAGAAATAGTGAATGAAACTTTGATTATTTTTGTTAAATTACTTTATAATTAATAATATCTCCCCGGTCCTCATATACATTTACCAATCGATATTATAATATATATATATATATATATATATATATATATATATATATATATATTATATACTAATACATATTATATATTAATTTATATTGTATGATTATATATTATATATTATTATAGATATAAATACATAAAACTAGGCTCGAGAGCCGACTCGCGAGTTAGCGAGCCTAAAATTAGTTGCCTCATTTATTGTTCAACTGCTTAACGAGCCGGCTCGAGCTCGGCTCGAGTTTGACTGAACTCGATTCTAGCTTTGACCAAGCGGCTCACCAACGACTCGCTCATTTGCACCCCTACCTACGAGGTCCAAAACAAGACTTATAAACTATTTTAATAATGTAAATGTAGTGAATAACAACATTACACATGTAAAACATAAAAGTAATTAAATAACACAAGAATCCATTACTTTTTAAATATACTATTGGTATTATTATTGTAATTATGTATCAATTCGTAGTAGTTAATAATTTTAATAAATTTGAACCACTTTCACTAAAAAAATATTAAGATTTTAAACGATTCTACAGGGTTTTTGTATGATTTTTTACGATTTTGCATGATTTTATGATTTTACGATTTTACGATTTTACCTGCAACTTGAATCGATTTATTAATGTAGAATCATAAAATTGTACGATTTTACGATTTAAATCGAGATTTTAACAACATTGGTTGAGCATATATCTTTTTGGTTCGGATTTTATCGGTTTCGGTTCGGTTGGGTTGGGAGAATAAGTATCAAACAAAAACCATACTATTTCTCAGTTCGGTTCGGTTCGGTTTAATTCGATTTGGATTTATTATTTTTTAATAATATATGAAGATTTTATTGAATTTCTTTAGTTTGGTTCGGTTTTGTTCGCTTTTGTCGGTTTTGGTTCAAATCGGTTTAATACCGTTTGCAAGAAATGCTACCAAAATCAAACCATGTTGTATATGGTTCGGTTTTGGTTCGGTTTAGTTCAGTTTGGTACGGTTTGATTCGATTAAACTAAACAAATATACCCACCCCGACACCCCTAGTACTATTAGTGTATTATTGTACGGGGTTGATGCACAGTGACACATTGTATAATACGCAACTTCGATATCGATAAAAAACAAATGAAATTTTTTTATTGTTCATATTTAAAATTTTGAAAATGATACGGAGTCCTGCGTTTTTTTATTAGGTGTCTAACATAATTTAATTACTTCTTATTTTACAAACATAATGCAGAGTTCTTCCCACGGTCTGTCTTCCCTCAAGTAGAAGTGATGGAGTATATGGCCCAGGGACCCCGACCCACAGACTCCTGTTACTCTAACAATGGCTCAGCAGGCCCAGGAAGCATAACAAGGCCCAAATCACAGCACCCCAAGTATCAAGTAGCCCACGACGCACATTTGGACGCCTTCGGCCCCCTGGCTGAAGGCTCAAAAACTTACAGTGCAGCTGCTTTTAAGCATACGAAGTTACCGGGAGAAAACGGCGAAATCGGTAGCCTTCGGCACTTAGAACCCTCGGCACTGAGAGGCCCCCGGCGTGAAGAATCTCCTTCGGACTCATCCACAGCCGAAGGCATCTTCCTCGACAGAATCTCCTCTCCACAAGCGCCTGGATCACCGTACCAAGTACAAGCGTCACATCCAACCACCGCATTTAATGTGGCCACATGCAATTGCCGGTGTCACCCCGATTGACGTGACCCTCGGACGTCGGATGCTTGACATGTGTCCCCATTAGCATTTATTGCTGCTATAAATAGCACCCCCTTTCCCGTTGTAAACCACGCTGAATACAACGAAAATACACATTTTATATTCGAATTCTTTATCTCTCTTACTTATTTGCTCTGACTTCTCTCTAAGTTATTCCCCGCAATAATCCCTCGGGTAAGCTACCCCCGGGTACATTGTCCATCATTTGGTGCTCTCGTTGAGAGGTCGAACAATCAAGTAAGAAACTCTCCCCTTCAGCTCAAAACACCTACCAAAATGGGAAGAATCACTCATGCTCAGTCCAAGAACCTTGAGGACAACAACCTGGCCCTCGGTGAAGTCAACACCCCTGGAGCCTCCAACAAGGCTCCCGAGGGCGGGGTCATCACTGAGTTGGAACAGCCTGCTGTTGACCTGCGCCTTCAGCTTCAGCAGAATGCTCCTGATGCCCGTCTAGGCATCGACACCCGAAGGAGGGACCAAAGCGAGAATCAAGTGAGCCCTACGGTTCTCACCATTGACGTACAATCGGCATTCTCCGCCTTCATCCAAACACTCACGCAAAACCCAGGTGCCTTCCGCACTCTGGTGCCCCTTCAACCACAGGTCGGGGAGAATGTTATACCTCTCCCGCGACCACCCCCTTTCGTGAACCCTACCCCTCGGGTTGGGAACGACGAAGGGGTCGTTGCTCAAGACACCACCTCCCAGGAAGCCCAATCTCGGGACCGCCATGGCGCAAACAAGGAAAGGCCCAGGACCTCCGCCCTCGAACGGCTCGGAGGGGCGCAAGACCCACTCGGCGGAAAGGCGTCCCAAAGACCCCAAGACAGCGGAGGATCCGTTTCAAGGGCAAACGACAGGACCCTCCTGGCTCTCCTGCAGACTGTCCTCCGAACCGACAACTTCTCCAGGAGCCTTATTATCGAGCCCCCGCGCGACTATATAAGGGCCCTCTAGCGGGGTGACCGGTATGCAAAGGTCGAGGAAGTGGAAAGGTCCCATCGGAACCCCGATAAACCACGCCCCAAAGCAGATGACAGAAACAACTGAGGGTCGGGGGCTCCATTTCATCAATCCAAGGGACCAGCCCTCTTGGGTGATCGCCCCCGGCATGGCCAAGCCAAACCCGGGGGAGGTTACAAAAATAACCCGAAGGCTTGGGCACAGCCCATCCTCCTAGAACACCCTCGGACGCCTTTAACGCATCCCGTCAGCGTCATCCTCGACTTCGCCGAAGAGAGGGGCCTCGTGGAACGCGACTACCGCGCACCCTTGGAGGTATATGCTCTCAACCCCAATGAACCGTACTGTCGCTTTCATCGTAATCAAGGGCACAGAACCGATGACTGCCATCAGCTGAAGACGGCCATCGAATGGTTAATACAGGCGGGCCATCTGTCCCAGTTTGTCCGAAACCCTCAGCACCAAGGGCCCCCACGAGGGCCACCGGCGAGGGCAAATGCCTGGGTCAACCCGAACACCATCCCCCTCGGTGATCCCAAGGGTAAGAAAAGGGAGATCGGGGATCTTGAAGAAGAGGAGGAGGAACACCACCACTACCAGGAGAAGAAACGCCATTTCCTCATGATCACCGGCGGCAACACAGGGGGAGACTCCACAAGCCAGAGAAAGAAGTGGGCACAATCGCTTTATGTGGGGGAAGTCACTCATATGCCCCCCGTAAAGCGATTGAGGGAGGAACCCATCGTCTTCACCAACGCCGATCTCCCCCCGGTTTCCTCTCCCCACAGGGATGCGCTGGTAATACAAAGCGAGATCAACAACACCATCGTCCACCGGACTTACGTTAACACAGGCAGCTCCGTCAACGTAATGTACCTTAGCACTTTCAAGGAGCTACATCTGGAGAGGGAGTCCCTTCGGCCCATCCGGACCCCTCTCTCCGGCTTCACCGGAGACACTATTGATTCCGAGGGGGTCATAACCCTCCCGGTACTATTCGGCGATGGGCTCCATAGGGCCAAGCTCGAAGTGGAATTCGTCGTCCTCAACATTGATTACGCCCACAACATCATCCTCGGCCACCCCACCCTCGAGGACCTGGAGGCTCTCATTTCCATGAGGCATCTATGTCTCAAGTTCCCAGCTGAAGGAGGCATCGGGTACTCGAGCGGGAACCAAAAGCTCGCTCGCGCCTGCTATCTTCAGATAACGAAGAAAGTTACTAAGAATGAGTTCCGAGCAGACACCATCACCGGGACTATTGAGGAAGAAGAGAAGAGGCTGAGGGCTGAACCAGCCGAGGAGGTAGAAGACTTCGCGCTCGATCCGACCAAGCCGGAGAGAGTCGTGAAGATAGGAGCCAAGCTCCCTGAAGATTCGAAGACCGGCATCATGGATGCCCTCCGCGCCTACTCCATTGTTTTTGCATGGGGGCAGATGACATGTCGGTAATTAGCCGAAGGGTCATCACTCACCGTTTGTCGGTGGACCCTTCCTCCAAACCAGTACAACAAAGAAGAAGGCCACTCTCGGCTGAGAGAAGGGATTTCGTGAAGAAGGAGGTTGCCATGCTCCTCTCCATCAAACATATCAAGGAGGTGAAATATCCCTCATGGCTGGCTAACGTGGTCCTCGCACAGAAGCCGTACACCTTCCGCATGT